CTGATTGCCCCTAGGCCAGAGCACTTAGCTTGTGGCTGGGGATTGGTGTCTGCCCCGTGGGGATGCCTTCTCTGCCTCCGTATCCCCCTCACAGACCAACTTGGCTGTATTGATGGTGGATGAAACCCAGGAAGGCCATTTAACCCATCACTAGCACTAGAGGCCACAATATTGAAATCTCTCTTCCCAGTAAAGAGAAGTTAAAGAACAGGTCCTGTGTAAAATAGGCCCATGAGACGCCAGTGAGGGCAGTGGGGGTGTGCAGGCAGGACTGGGCCCTTCTCTTGGCAAGCGCAGCCCGTGTGTGGAGCGTGTGCTGCTGTCACGCTGGGCAGAGCAGGGGCTATAATGACTTTCAATGGTGACTGGGTGTTAGAAAGGGAGCTGTGCTTTCCAAGGGCTCGAGACAGCTGCGTCTCCCTCCAGCCCCTCAGGAAGAATCACGCACTGGTTCGTACAGACTGGCTGGAGCTGGCACGCCCCCAGGCTCCTCCTGGAGGAGTGTATTCCTCCGACGGGTCGCGAGGGGTAGTGCTTTGAAGATGTGAGGCTGGTATTACTGGGACAACAGCCTGTACTACAGCCAGGGCAAGAAAAGCAGAGCCTGCCTCCCTCTGCTGACCCACTGAGCCAGGAGTGGGGCCAACTTACCTCTCTCCCTTGCTTTCCCATTCAGACCCGTCTGCGCGAAGCGGCCCTGCCGACACAGCGGGCCGAGCTGCAGCCGAGCCCAGCCGCGGGCCCAGCGACGTGCGGCTCTCCTGGAAGGCCCTGGGGAAGCAGCTGAATGCCGAGCTCAAGGGCAAGTGTTCTGAACTCCATTCTTCCCCCAGGCGCTCCTTTGTCATTCAAGAGCAGAGCAGCCCCACGGAGCAGCAGGTCCGAGAGAGCTGGAGCAGCAGCTTGCCCAGGACCGGGAGGATCACGCCTGCCCCTGCCCCAAGGAGAATTAGCAACGCAGGAGCTAGCAGGGACAGCGTCGATGCAATCGCTGCAGGTACGGGGCGTGGGGGCGGTGAAGCAGAGACGTCTGGGGGGCTCAGTGAAGAATGTAATTCTGCATGCGGTGAGGGCCCGAGTCAAGAAGTTCAGTAGGAACTGGCTAGGGTGCCAGAGCAGGTAGTGCCATCCTGGGATTTTCCTGTGTCCTTCCTGCCCTAAGCAGAGCCCGAGGCAGTGTGGGACCGAGCAAGCCCTTGGACAGCTGTGGGGTAAATTAAAAAGTATGTGGTTCTAGTGTCTGAGTTCTAGCTCTTGGGGTTCTAGATCCTGGCCGCGGCACAGAGCTAAGGGCTCCCTGGTGGTGCCCTGCCGCAGGCCCGGCTCAGGAGAGCTCTGCTCCCTCTGGCTCCACTCCCGCTCACTCAGTAAACACAACCCGAGATGTCGGCGCACGGACACCCAGCTGTGTCCAGTAGCAAGAGGGAAGGGGTGGACACAGGGCTGGGACACGCAGTGTGGAGGAGGCACAGGGTGGCTGACAGAGGGGCGGAGCATGTCTGCACCAGCAGAGGGGAAGCCTACGCCCAAAGGCGCATGAGTGCTGGGTGCGTTTGGTGAGGAGGGAGGTGCCTGTGCTGGGAGTTCCTGTCTCAGCCCGGCATTCCAGCTGGTCCCTGGCTGACTTGCGACTGGGCCCCACAGTGGGTCTATGGCCCGTCCTGCTCTGCTTTCAGCCAGTGCTTCCTGCAGGCAGGTAACAATCACTGTTCTTGTTCCAGCTGAGCAGGCAAATGACTTTCCAGCAATAACGGCCCCTGTAAATTCTTCCCTCGGCGTGTCCGTGGGAGTTGCACCACCACCAAATTGGATCCAGATTCTTTCTAGTCACGATTCTCTTCTCCCATCGACCTGCCAAGAGGCAGGATGGCCTGTGGGCTTGAGTACTCCTCTAGGGTTACCATACGTCCTCTTTTTCCCGGACGTGTTGGGCTTTTCAGCACTCAAACCCCCGTCCGGGGGAAGTTGCCAAAATGCCGAACATGTCTGGGAAAATGCCGGCCAGGCACTTCCCCTCCCGCGGCGGCTCTGCTCCTCCCCTCGACT